CTTCCGCCCGTAGGTGAGGGTGTCCAATGGTCCGGGGTTATCTTCTCGGTCCCTCCAAGTGGCTTCAAAGTCCCTCCCTCTCCCTCCCTCCTCCAGGTGGCTCAGCAAAATGCACTTCAAACCTTGATTTTGACGTCAAACAACCAGAGCACCTCTCAGCCCTTGAGGGTGGCTCCATCGACATCCCCTTCTCCTTCTGTTACTCCTGGGAGTTAGCCCGTGATCCCAACGTGCATATATCCTGGAGATGGAGAAATTTCCATGGAGAGTTCATATACAACACAACCCCGCCGTTCACCCATAAGGCTTTTAAAAACCGCCTCTCCCTGAACTGGGCAAAGGGCCAGAGGAACGGCTCCCTCCGGATCTCCAACCTGCGGAGAGAGGATGGACGTAGCTACTTCTGCCGAGTCCAGTTGACCACACGGAACAAAGGCGAGAAAGGGTGGCAGTCCATCCCCGGGACCAAACTCACCATCACCAGAGGTGAGTCCTGCTGCCACGGCCACTGGGACCGGTCCAGGCGCCTCTCTTCCTGACCTTTCTCTCAAACGCCTCTCCCTGCCCCTGACTGCTTCCCAGCCTCTGCCAACTTTACCTTTTTCACCGTAATCTCCCCAAACGTGGGCTGCCTTCCTTGCCCCTCCCTCACTGCCCTGTAGATCCAGCCCCACCGCCATCCCCAGACTTCAGACCTCCCAGGCTCCCCGGTTATCCTCCTTCTTGCTCCAAGTTGGGGCTACAGCCCTGCCTCCTGCCTTCACCCCATGTCCTCCAGGCGGACTTGACTTTTACAGGATGTGGCCTGGCTTTCCTTTGTCCTGTGTCTGTAGGTGGAGCCCCAGCTAGCCCCACGTCTGTGTCCCCCCACAGCCATGAGCTCAGCCTGACACACACAGGAGGGACCCAATAGCGGCCCAAGGAATTCCCACCCCTCCCTCCACCCCTGGTAACACCCCAGCACCTGTTGTCCCAATTTCTCTGCTTCCCAGAACATGACCCTCAATGCTCCCTCCCCAGTCCCATTTCTTTATTCTCCTCCATCTCCCTCTTCCTGTCTTAATCCTCTTTACCTTCCTTGCCTCTCTCAGGGCTCCACCCCACCACACACACACAACATGGGAGCCTCTATGTTGTCCCCTTCTCCATCCTGCTCCTGTTCCTCTGTCCTGGTTGTCAGAGGCCCCTCTGCAACAGCAATAAGGGCAGTTCCTGCGTACTGTGCACTGTGTCTGGCTGAATCCTTGGTATGCATTGCCCTAGTGAGTCTGCACCATGACCCCACAATAACAGTAAGTACTGCTATCATCTTTATGTTACAGATGAGGAAACTGAGGCTTGCAGAGCCTAAACACTGGCCCAAATTCCCACTAGCGCCGATGGGTTTTGAACCCAATGTAACCTCAGAGCCTACTCTCTGAACCACTAGCCTCTTACCTCACCTATTGACTGAATCATCTTGTTATCCTGACCTATTTTTAACCCAATATGGGGTGTGTTGCATTAATAGTTCTTCCTATATTACTTGGTGGGGCATGGAATCTTAAACATGGGTTTTCCTGTCTCCAGGGCAAATACTGGGAAATTCCACTTATATGAGGTATCTAGAATAGTCAAATTCATAAAAACAGGAAGTGGAATAGTGGTTGTCAGAGGCTGAGGAAGGAGAGAATGGGGAGTTATTCAAGTGGGATGAGTTTTATTTTGGAAAGAAGTGTATGGTGGTGAGAGTTGCACAACAATGTAAATGTACTTACTGCCACTACATTGACTTAAACATGGTTAAAATGGTAAATTTTATGTTATGTGTCTTTGACCAAAATAAATGGGTTTTTTTAAATCCTGTGATCTAGTTATCCCTATTTGTAGGTGATGAAATACGCCACTGATCGGTGGCAGATTCAGGATTTGAACTGAATGACGTATGTGATAAGCCTTCAGCATTCCACCTTGTTACTCCTCTCCTGGTGTGAGAGCTTCAGAGGGTTGCTCCCTACCCCCAGTGTTCCCCAAACTAGGGAACAGGATGTGACAGTTTCACTCAGATACTTCCAGTCCCCTAAGGAAGAATTTGTTTGTTTCTCATTTCTTCTCAGCCACTGAGAAAACCACCAAGGACCCCACCAGCACCAACACCACCACCACAGATGGCCTCGGTGTCCCAGGGAACAAAGGGCGATCAGGGTTTTGGCCCTTGAGTAAAGAAGTTGTGGTCAGCATGGCAGTGGTCAGCACTGTGCTCAAAATTGCAATTTTAGGACTGATGGTCTACCTCAGGTGGAAGAGAAGCAAAGGTGAGTGGTCCAGCACCCTGCCCTCTCCCCAGGCTTCCCAACTGGGTGTTTCTCCTAATCACCTGCACCAGGATGATTGCAGATCCCTGCTGGGTTGAGGTCTAGTCTTGGGAATCGTCATTGTTAATGATCTCCACAAGTGCTGTCTGGGAGTGATCAAGTTTGAAAATCATGGCTCTAAACCAGTCCCTCTCCACAACTTTTCTTTACTTAATCATTTCTCATCTGTCCTCTCCTTTTTGTTCATGGAGAGGGAAGGGTCTGCCATGAAAAATTGAGAGAGAAGAAGAAACAGGAAGTTGACTGAGCTCAGCAAGCATTGGTGGGATACCTGTTTTCTAGGGCCTGACTTGTAATTAGAGATACAAAAGTAAACAAAGCAGAGACCCTTTCATGGAACTAATTGGGGAGGGGAGGGGAGGGGAGGGGCCAGTTGCCTGAAGGGCTTATTGCTTCATTTGGAAAGAGCTAAAGTAGTTGCGATAAAGGAGGGGGTAACCAAGGAGGACTTCCCAGAGGAAGTGACACCTGCAAAAAAGTCTCAAAGAATAAAAAATAATTAGCCAGGCAAGTGGCAAGGATGGTGTAGAGGTCACTGTTCTTTCAGGAGAAGGAAACCATTTGTGGAACTGTAAGTAGCTCAGTGCTATGGAGGAGGCAGGAGATGGGGAAAGAGGACCTTGTAAATCACATCCAAGAGCCTTAGATCCCAGTGGCAATGTGAAGCAGCCAGATGGCAACCTCACTTGGTATTGCAGATACATCCAGTCTGCAGTGGAGGGACCAGGACATTAGACTTCCCCATCCAGTCCAATGCAGTGCCAGCTTGAGTGGAAAGAGAGCGACAGATCTTGGAAAAGGTTAAAAAGGAACAAGTAAGATATGGGGGTTGGATTGATGTAGGTGTGAGGGAGCCAGAAGTCCCATGTTTACAACTTGGGTGAACAGGCTGATGATGAACCTACCAAGTGAATTAGGAAACATAAAAGGTCAAAGACCATGGTTCAAGGAGAAAAATGATTCTTCAACTAGATGAGCATCAGCACTTATAATTATTAAGCTACAATAATTAAAGTGATGCAATGCTAGCATATAAAAGATAAAGTAATGCCGAAACCGGTTTGGCTCAGTGGCTAGAGCGTCGGCCTGCGGACTGAAAGGTCCCAGGTTCAATTCCAGTCAAGGGCATGTACCTGGGTTGTGGGCACATCCCCAGTGGGGAGTGTGCAGGAGGCAGCTAATTGATGTTTCTAACTCTCTATCTCTCTCCCTTCCTCTCTGTAAAAAAATCAATAAAATATATTTTAAAAAAATAAGTAAATAAAAGATAAAGTAATGGAAGAAAAGAAAAAATTCAAATATAGGCAGGATAAAAATACTAGTAGGCCCAAATATATGCAGGAATTTAGTAGGTTAAAAGGTAGCATGTATAATCAACACATATTATTAGAACAATTGCATAGCCATTTGAGATAACATTGTCTCCCTACCTTATCATTTGCCCCAAAATAATACTAGCATTTAATATTTCAGAGTTTTCATTCCCAGTGATTAAAAAAAATAATGTCCAGGGTATGGCAGAGTGGAGTGGAGGTCACTGGAGTTGGGGGATGGGTGAGTCCAGTGCCTGAGAGGATTGTCCCTGTGGATGATGAGACCTCACAGGAAGGTGGGCAGCGGTGGAGAGGATGTGTGTGAACCGGGGCCAAATGCTTGGGAAATGCTGTAGAGAGACTTGAGAAGGAGGTGGAGGGGGAGAGTGCAGGGAGGTGGGGAGGAACAACAGAGTCCTCGGTGGAAGAGAGGAACAGGCTGCAGTGTGAACACAGATTCCAGCCCTGAGGTTCAGAGGTAGGAGAGAGAAACAGCCACCACTCAAAGGAAAGCATAAGAAGCTGGTTTGTCACAGCAGGAAGAGCGATGGTGCCTGAGGCGGGGAAGGGGAGGGAAGGTGGGCCAGACTCAGCAGTGGAAGGAGAAGGTT